CAATGGAAACATATCCGTTGTCATCTGTGAAGGAGATATTACAAAACGGGCAACCAACTCGTGATGGCGTCCGTAAAATTATTGAAGGGATGACCTAAACCTCACCACTTGGAATTCTTGGTTTAATAGCTTCCTTGTAGGCAGCAATCCTCTATCCAGGACATCATGAAAGGAAATGCAAGCTTTTGAATATCGTTTCAGCAGGGATGTATGTACTCTTATAGAAGATCATCTTTATAGCGGAACTTGAAGGATAATACTAGCTTCTTTCTTTTCTACATTAAAAGGAACAAATCAGCAAAACGGGAGGCACATTTTGTGCCTATGGGAATGCAAATTTATTGTTGAAAACCCCGTCCTTCCAAAGTACTGAAAAAGTTGGCAGTCAAGAAATTAAAAATCTTGACAATGTCAGTTTCAGAGAATCTTTTGTCTGAATCGGATTTTTTTTTTTTTTTTTTTTTTTTTTTTTTAATGTTAGATTTTTTTCTCTCTTAAGCAAGATTTATATATCTACTCTGGTCATTCGTTTTATAAACCAAAACGCGATCGAGATTTGAAATGTTTTATACATATTCATGAAGGTATCGCCTCCTACGATGACTAGCAATAAAGTCTGTGAGATGCTGGTCAAATGGAAATACATATAACACATTTATATGTAGGTAACGAACATTGAATCACACGAGAAAGAGTTCAGATGAATTTAAAAATAGAATTGTAATAATCTGTATTATTTTTTAGGTCCTTCGACTATAACCAGGTGCAAAACTTTCATTTTTTTCATGATCTACTTGCATTTCGTATATTTCAGGGCTCATCCTCTAATGAAATCAGAATTCACTGATGATTTACCATTGTTTTACACAACACATATCATGACAGGATCACTTTGTCTAATATTTTGATAGTAACATTGATCACATTTGCACATAACTGCCAAATAGCACGACACGCTGATCAAATAATTGCAGATTGCACCAGACTTGATTTAAAAGATGTTCCGACAGGTTTACCATTAAGTTTATCAGGTCTTGACCTGAGCTACAATCAATTTTCGGAGATAAAAAACAAGGTCTTTGAATCTTTTTCTAATTTGACAGCTCTGACAATGGAGTTTAATAATATTCATCATATGGTTTATCCCTAATTTGGAAACCTGCCTAATTTAACTGATTTATATATGGATTTTGCGCTAAACCCTGTATTCAAGTCTAGTGGATTCGAAAAATTATCGACACTTAACACAATAAAGTTGACACGATGCTATGTGAACAAGATGTTAGTAGATTTATCATCAACCACAACAGCAATCTACTTTCTAGAATGCTTCGGTAGTATATCGATCTTTTTAAAGCCTTTGCGTCTGGCGCAAATACAAAATTTCATCCTGGTATCTATGACGAGTTTATTTATTTCCAATCACTAAAGTTATGAAATATGGAAGGAGTAGCTATACAATTGGAAGATGCTTTAAAACTTCTTTATCCTTTCATGCATAAAACAATGACCTCAATCATATTCAAAATCTGACCTCATTTTCCTAAACCTGTTTTCTTATCTCGTGATATGATTAATTATTTGTTACATATATGTGTAAAAACCTTAGTTCGAATGTCTAGAAAATGTTGTTTTGTCAGGCAATCGATTATCAATAGCATTAGGTCCTCATTTGAGGCAGCGCATGATAATTTTGAAGGAAACAATCAATTTGAAATTTTTTTACTTGTCGCATAATGCAGTTAACTTCAACCTATTGAATACTGAAACATAAAAGTGCTGGAAAATCCCTCTTATAGAAAGGAAGTATTTAGGGAAGGATGCCAACTTACGTCCCCAACTACAAATGGATATAAAAGTTACAACACAATATTAGAAAAAGCTCAAATGGTTGAGGAATCTGAATTTACGATTTATTTACCGGCTAATCTTACTTTTCGTCGTGTTTCCCATCATATGACATCATATATACAGACAAAAGTTATTTGTAGCGAATGTCAATAATCTAAGATACGTAGATTTGTCATACTCGCAGATAAAGCAGTTTCCAGAAATATATTCCGATACTCCTTTTAATTTGAAATATTTGGACATTTCTGGACTTAACTCAGCCATACTTATTCATGAGACGTCAGTACTGTTTTTTCAAAATGTCCAGACAGCTATTTCCGGCCGTGGAAAAACTAGATATATCATACAACCACTTATGGTATCTATATGAAAAATTTGTCAAATGTCAATTTGCACACATTTTACTGCCAGCTAGCCCTGCAGCCGGTTGTACGAACGTTGCATTAGCCTAATGGGTCATTAAGTCTTCATTAAGCCTTTATGATGCATTAGGCTAATGAAGATTTAATGACTCATTAGCCTAATGACACGTTCGTACAACCGGCTGCTGATAGATTGGCTTCACTTGAGGAAATTTGATATAAGTTTCAACCGTCTTCAAACAATCAATAAAACATTTAGAGACTGTATGAATGAGAAAAGTAAAATCTATGAAGGAAAATTTTATTTGTCTATAGAAGGGAACAGTCTTAAATGCACTTGCAACACATCTGATTTTAAAAGGTGGCTTTTCAGCACAAATTTTGTTTTTTATCGGGTCAATAAAAATTTCAGCTGCACTTTGACAAACGGATCGGAGAGTAACACAGTAGTTGTTTACAGAAGATTTCCATGTTTTGGGTTTCACAGTTATAACATGATCGACATCTAGCATAGACAGCAGCTCAAACCGGTGATTGGGACAGTCTTGAACTTTCAGTGATGTGATAGTTCCGTGTAAAAGGCCTCACTGTGACTTTGAGATGTAGAACAGCAATAAAAGCGCTGTTTCTTTGCTTCTGTCCTATGTATAGACATGTAGCGATTTCGTGTCATGCATCTATTGTATATGTGGAAGATTTTTTTTAATAACTAAATGTTTGTTCCCCGCTCGACGCGTTGTGAGGGACATAGAAATACCGGGCTTCCGTCCGTCCATCTGTCCGTCTGTCCGTTTGTCTGTCCGTCCTGTATTGTTAGTAAATCATTTACTAAAGTTTCTCTATCCATAGCCATAACATTTGCAAATTTCTTTGGATTACTGTTTTCAGTGGTTCATAGTTTCGAAAATCTATTGGCATTTTTATTGTTTTGATATTTATTTTGCAAACTACATAACACGTTGTACCAAACAGCGTTCGCCTCAATGATATCAATATACTTACCACACAACACGGTTAACAAATATAAGCACCAGCTTAATTATATCAGTATTAACAAAACATAATACGGGTAGCAAACTATCACTTATGTTAATGATATTTATACAACAAGCTTCTTAACACGAAAAACAAATATTATCATTCATCGCAATGACATCAAAATTAAAAACTACATAACACGGATAATAAATATGACAATTCATTGACATGTTATCCATATGCCAAGATACATAACACGAATTACAACTATAACCATTTGTCGCAATGACATCAGTATTGATAACTACATAACACAGATAACAAATATTTTATTGTATCGATATTTTTTGTTAAGCCAATTGCTACTCATTATCACAGTTTGTCCGTATGTTGTGCTGTTATACCAATGTTCCTGGTAAAGGGGAATGAGGTGGGGGGTTGAGCGCACAGAAAAATGCTTAACCCCGCAACATTCATTATATATATCTGTCCTAAGTCAGGAGCCTGTAGTACAGTGGTTGTCGTTGATGTCTGTCATCTTTGTTTTTCGTAAACTGTTTTATTATAAAGTAGTCTGTTGATTTTCCCATTTGATCTGTTTTACATTTTTCATGTCGGAACCTTTTATAGCCAACTATATGGTATGAGTCTTTCGCATTGTTGATGGTCGTACATTTGCCTATAATTGCATACATCCACGTCATGTAAACTCTGGTGAATACATGTAGTTAACTCGTTGTCAATCATACATATCTCCCTATTTTTATATTTTAACTTTTTTGATGAAATTGGGAAAATGAAAAATGACCTGTATTTTAGTATTAAGTGTTAAATGAAATATTTGTTTACGTCTAACAACAAGGTTGGCACATTTCTGTATTAAATTTGTTAATTAAGGCCCCGGATTCCTTCTTTGATGTTCAAAAAGAGGGGCGAAAGATACCAAAGGGATAATAAAAAATAAATACTGAGACCTAAACAAAAGGCGTTCTGAAAACAGGTAAATCGCTATCGACAGGTGCCGTAGTCTTTCATAGACTCGCACAAATAAAGTTTCATTATCATATACATGTAATTGTAGATAATTACTCTCATGTATGGAGAGAGAGAGAGAGAGAGAGAGAGAGAGAGAGAGAGAGAGAGAGAGAGAAACATTTTGTTGTTGTCAAACTTAATTTTATTTTTTTAGTTCGGTATTTTTGTTAAACTTTTTTTATTCTATTCTTACGGGTACAAAAAGCTTTTTATGCGTATTGTTAATGTGTCATACCGGAAGCTGAATTATATTTTCAAATCGATTTTGTGCCAAAGACAGGAACAATGTTTCAGCAAAATTTTCTTTTTATCCCAAGTTTATGTTTACCATGACAGAAATATGTTAGATAAAACGTGAGATTTGGTTATCGCATGATATCAACTATCGCTAATTATTTTTCATTAATGATAATTAGCTCGGGATAGGCTCGTTTATAAGCATATTGAAATTGAATAATTCAAGTAAATGTCAAAAACAATCCAATTCTCACTCATTTTGCAACTTGTAATTAGCACTCCTTTGAATTGTATCAATATCTCAATCAGCAAAAAGGGGTATCACATTAGGACTTTCTAAATGATACCAATATTACAAACTTCATTACACGGGTAATAAATCATCACTCATCTCATTATAAATATATTTATTATATATTTAGTAGTAAATACATGTTAATTGTATGTGTAATACGATCTATAGAAATCGTGTTGTATCAGCCATCCATTATTGAATTCACTACGTTTTAAACATATACCCCCCCCCCCCCCCCCAATCCCCCATATATTTTATACATCATTTGTTTACCCAAAAAGTTCAAGTGTTCCTGATTATTGTGAATCAAGGCGAACACGTCAAATGTTGAACATTTTAAATGTTTTATGCCGATCAATAAGACAGCATCTTTGTATTGAAATACTATTTCTATGCTTTTTCTGCAAATGGTTATAATCTTATTAAATATTGTTAATGGAGTAGACATATTTTCAATTGGTATTTGTCAGCGGAACAAAAGGCAGTTAAACAAACAAACAGAACAGGCGGCAATTGATCTGACATAAACAAATATTAAATCATTCTTATCAATAAATTCATTCTATGTGAGTTTTTATCATCGAACAAACATCATCTATTAAATCCTCTTCGTAAATAAAATTTAGCATTAATCAGGGTTGCGACACCTGATGGTTGTAATGACGAAATTGGAGGTAAAAGTATTCTATCAAGTTACTCGTGCAACTCGATGATTATGATGAATATATGCAACTCTGTTCCTCGGAGCAGACGCAGTCATAGACATCGTTATTAAATATTAGCTTCTCTACAATATGTCCAAAATTACCAACTACCATTTCTGAAAAGCTGTTTGATAGGCGTCACACCGACACGAAATCAAATTCTCTTTATCTTTCAAAATGTAAATGTTATATTTGAAAGCGACTGTCACGCCTGTCCATTTTAATCAATACAAATGTACAGCTATCATCTTCCATATTGCGCATCACAGACTTCAAGACCGGTCGTCATCAGAAATGATAAATGGAGAAATGTCTCAGTGCTCTGGAAGGATAAGCAGAAATACTTTCATTTTTCCTATATATGCCTTTATCAATTGGTCAGCGACTAACATGTGTTGCAGAATTTCAATATCGACGATATACTAGTAGTCTAAACCACTTGATTGCATTACAGCAAGTTCCGAATTTATATTCAATTCGGCTGACTTTTAAACGCAACACTTACTAAAGAGGGAATCACAATAACTATAGTTTTATTATAAAGTATCCTTACATGCAAAGTTGTATTGCTGGATCTGCCAAATGATACAAGAAACCTCTTTAAAAATTATTTACAATAATTATATCAAAAAATTCAGAAATGATTTTAAAACCAAGGCCCAAACTTCATCAGGCAAAATTGACATAGATGAAATTGACCATTTTAAGTTGGTTTAATGTTCACATATCCCTAACGTGAATACGTACTAGTATATATTATATCCATAGCTTTCATATGTTTTGGTTTGGTTATATATATAAATATATAGGAACTGTTACTACGGGGTGTTAAAATGTTTGATAACATTTACATTGACTACCGTAGACATGAGGGTCTAAAGCCGGTAAATGTACTCAATCTTATCAAGAAGCTTTGTTTTATGCAAATCGATAAATTATTGTTTTAATTGGTAAATTGTCGGAAACGAAACCAGGGCAAACTGAGGTAGTTTTAAATTAAAAAAAATGGACTTTCACAATGAAATATTAAAGTTGAAATGATTTGAAAAAGTCAATAACCACATGCAAAACTTAAAATTGAAAAATAAATTGTTCATATACAAATATGCAAATATGTACTTATATAAGCATATGCATGTTGCACGATAAAAGGTGCAAAGTTGAAATGATTTGAAAAAGACCACAGCCAAATGCAAAATTTAATTTGATAATAAGTTGTTCATAAACACATTTACGCTTGCATAAACATACGCATATTGCATTGTTACAATATGTGAAAGAATTTTGTTTCTATTGTTATATATCAAACCAGTGATCTTATAATCTTTCCAGTGATCACTTCAACAACAAAATATATCAAAGAGGCCTACTTTTTTTTCCTTGCATGAGTTGAGTCTAACTATCTATGTAAGTCTTGCATACAACTTAATGTATAAGCGATGTGCAATATGCACAGATTTGAACACGAATACTATTCAAAAAGACTCCGTAAACAATGTCATACGTAATTTGTCATAACCTGTTTCATCATCAGTCCACTCTATTATAGTCAAATGTTGTTGAATGTTGTTGAACTCACGTAAAATGCAAGAAACTCTTTCACCCCTTACAATAACAACTATTTTTTGCAAGTCATTCGAACATTTCTCATATTCAACTCTTTCAATTTCATATCTGCTCCATCCACGATCTTGATATATTTCTGAAATGATAAAAATAGCATGTTTGCTTTCGGCAACAGCATTTGCTATTGCATCTGCTTTTGCAACTCCCACGGGGAAATCTCTGTGTTCTAGACAAACTTTCATTTTCCAGGAACATTCAAATTGTTGGAGAAGAACATCACTTACCCATTGAATCTTATCATCTGCACATGCTAAATAAATGTCATATGTGAACTTTTTTTCCAATCTTTTTTCTACTACTTTCTTGAAATTTCGATACACCAAATAAATTATTTTCCATCGAAAGTTAAAGATAATAGCGAAGGGAATTGTTACAACGGCAAATGAGATTAAAAGTCCAATTCCTAAACGTAACCAATTTGTGCTATAACAGTTACCAAAATGATCATGAAATCGGCTGTAGACTACTAAAGTATTAGTTTCTGTTCCATTTGCTAATGTACAATTGTATTGTTTTTTGGTCTGATCAAAACTAACTTCCGTTTTGAATAACCACTCAATAAAGTCGGCTGTCTCGCACGTGCATTTGAAACTATTACCTTTTATTAGCAGATGAAATTTTCCACTTTCTCTTTTTGCATCTAGCCAAGTTCTCAACGTTTTACCAATTGTCTGAATTCGATTATATCTGATATCCAATTTATTTAAATGCTCTAAACTCATTAGTGCCTTTGGAATTGATGGTAGTAAATTGTTTGCCATGTTCAGGTTTTTCAGTCTTGTATTAAATGAAAAAGAATCGTCATCCAGATAAAACACGTTGTTGTATGATATATCAAATTTTTCAACAGTCGGGAAAAGTTTAAATATATTACCATTTTTTCGTATGGTTTCGTCAATCATAGAGTCCTTCAATATTGCAGTTTCGATATTTTTAAATATTGGCACTGATGATTTGTGGATAAAAAGCATCGCGCTGACACCAGTGAAGTCCAAGTATTTTATGTCGAAAGGAGTATCGGAATATATTTCTGGAAAATATGAAACTTTCAAGTATGAAATATCTATGTATCTTAAACTAGCTGAGTTTTTTAAAAAGAAATTTAGTCCATACTCCATATATGATGTCATATAATGTGATAAACGGAGAAAGGTCAGATTTACGGGCAACGAAATCGTCATGTTTGATCCTGCAGTCATTCTAGAATATTGACGGTTTGAATTTGAATTTTGAAATGTTCTAGCATCTGTCGATTGGACTTCACATCCTTTGCTGTATATCTCGTTTCTAAATGAATCATTTCGGAGAGCTTCTATATTGCAATACTTCACATCGTTGAAATTAATGGCATTATACGATAAGTCAATGAACTTCAAGTTAGTTGTCTTCTTTGCAAAAACTACAAGCTCCATTAAATTATGTCCGTATGCTAAAGAAAACCGGTTGCCTGAAAATACAAGATACTCTAAGCAGTTTGGATATTTAAACGCAAGTAAAGAATTTTGTTCATATCCAACAATGTCACTTTCTGCTAAGACTAACGTATGAACACAGATTTCTTTCAAATATTTCATCATATCGCAGGTTATGAAAGTAGGCTTTTCGGCAGAACCCTTGATACGTTCATAAGTTATAGAAGTCATTTCTCTTCCAGTAAACGGAAATAATAGTTTCAATGCATCTGCTAATTTGATGTTGGCTTCAATCATATTTAATTCCATAAGTGCGGGGAAAGGTTTTAAAAACCCAGATTCTACAAAGGGTATAAACGTACCACACCCGCAAATGTGAAGCGCTATAATATTACTTGGTAAGTTAATCAACGTATCATTTAACATTTGGTCTAAATAACATTTTTCAAATCTTATTGTATGAAGGTTAAGCAACAGTTCAAAACCGCTTTCGTGTAAAACGGGTTTTTGGGCAAGATCCATATATAAATATTTTAATTCAAGCAAATCACCAAAAAAGGGATATTCAATTGTTGTTTTTATGAATTGTTTGTGTAGATTGTATCTTATGTCTAAATGATTTAGAGAGGATAAAGGTTTAAATACACGTTTAAAATTTATGGATGACATATTAAATTTATTTTTTTTCATTGAAAGCCACTTTAGTTTGGTTAGACCATAAAACGTTTCTGTTTCAATGATGCCCAAATTCATATTATCAATCTTCAATACCTCCATAAACCCAAAGCGTTTAAACGCATTGTTTCTTAGCAATGTTATATCATTATAACTGAGATCAAGCTCCGATATGTTCAGTGGCAAATATTTAGGTATATTATGTAATTCAATCCTTGTGCAGTCTGCAATAATTTTCTTCTTTATTTCTTTGATACGACATGTTTTTGAAGATCCCGCATGAAAACACAACATGAGTAAAAATAATGTCAGTATATCGAAATTCCTCATGTCGGCAAGCGGTTCTTGTACCGTGTGCAATATCGATGTTCGAAATGTAGCAATCGATAGTGGCTTATCCAATATCTGTCAAAAAAAAAATAGTATTACACAATTTGAATATCAATAACTTGAAGTCGACTCTATGGTTTGATTGCGATTATGATTGTTTAGGTTGGTTCTCAATTGCTAAAAAAAAAGCAAATTAAAAGATACGAAAATAAAACGCGTGGCTCGTTACATAAAATTGTAGTTATGAAGACGAATTCCTCAATAAAAGTGAAAAATTGAATAAAAAGAAAAAATAGTATAAAAATCAATACACTAATAAAGCCAAAATAGTTAACTTTGTTCTAACCATTGGGCTTGCGCATTACCTTGTTCCTGTTTCGTTGACGTCTGCTGCCTTGTTGCAAGTCAAACGATTTCCCACAAATTTATATATTTGATTACCAAAACGAATTATGGGAAAGATGCAAGAAAAATAAGAATTCGAAATACGGAATTCGTCGTCTGTCACAGGTAACACATGCCTCATACTATATGAAGTTAGTTTTTTAACGTGGGTTATATTTTGGCTATTCAAATTTAATTGGGATTAATATAGAAAAAATACATATTCTTGTGAAAATACACTAAATTCATAGGACTCAATTACTGATATTGCGAAAAGTAGTTTGTTAATTTGATTATAGTGAAACTACTGTTGCCTCTAAATTATTCATAATATTCATAGCAGCATAAACTTAATATTTATTCTAACGTGAAAACATTGCGTCCAATCTGTAGATGACTCTATCAAGAAAAGTACGAGGAGAATTTTTATTTTACAAATACTACAAATATAGTACTTGTTTGTTGGTAATAAAATTAACATTAGTATTATTTTGGATTATGTCTCTTATTAGCTTCTTTATTAAATTTATCAAAATTTATGGAATATATTTGGTAATGCAAGCCATTTTGCATTTTTGGCCATATTTGGTTAATACTACAGTAGCAAGAATACAGTTCCGTGGTATATCTGACATCCGTGGATAAGATTTCACTATCAAACTAGCCTCATTCAAGTCAAAGACGATCGGAAATATTAACCGAGGGTGTCTACGATTTCACAATCGTGCACCCTTGCAGATTTAATTCTTGTTTTCCACATGTTTGATGTTCATTTCCAGCTAAATTGCATTGAAGGGCTTTCAGGCTCGCTGAGGGAGGAATATGTATATTAGTGCAACCTTGTGGTTGGTGATTATTGACAAAGTTAGAACTCTTAATCTTGCAATTGCACCTTATCGATTCTATTTTTGTGAGAGTTGGTAATGCGTGCTGTATGTTACTTGTCATGCTTTAGTCTTTTGAATTATCTTAGTCGTTGAATGGTTTTTTTTGTACTTATTCCTTTAACAGAATATAAAGGAAACTCAAGACTCAACTACCTCCAGCACAATTGACTAGCGTATATTAGCTATTCCTTTTACGCCCCTTTTGGTCATAAACTCCGTAAAGGGCTTCGAAACACTAATTTGTTAGATTGTTTTTCCACTTTAACTGTATAATCTGAGGTTCGTGTCGTTGAGTCACAAGTAAATATCATTGTGGACGATTTGACAGAATCCCAAAAGCGAAGAAAACTCATAGAGCGGTTCGCAAAGAAATAAACTGCTGTCTAGATAAACGTTTAAATGTTTTGAAAAGTAAAATAACAAAAATACCGATCTCCAAGGAAAATTCAAAATGGAAGTCACTTATCAAATGGCAAAATTAAAAGCTCAAACACATCAAACGAATGGAAAACAACTGTCATATTCCTGACTTGGTACAGGCATTTCCTCATGTAGAAAATTGTGGATTAAACTGGTTTTATAGCTAGCTTAACATTTCACTTGTATGACAGTCGCATAAAATTTCATTATATCGACAAAAATGTGCGAACAAAACAAGCAGACATAATAGGTAAAAATGTCAAAAATAGGAGTACAGCAGTCAAAATTTGGTTATAATCTTAATCACTATAAAAACAAACAAATGTGTCAACAAAGAAAAACAAAATGGCATATAGACAAAGCATATAAGCAAAAACGAAAGACAAGAATACAAAAAATGACCATAGCACAATAACACAATGGCGGGATGTATAAGTACCGAGCCACTCCGAAAAGATATTACCAAAAAAGGACTAAACAGTCAAGTTTTAAAATTCACAAAGACAAATAAAGGAACACTATAACATGTAATTAAGATGATAACCAACGTCAGTACCTAGAATCCATACCTCAAGACCATCATGTATTATTTGTGAAGTTGATATGGAATATTTATCAACAAGGTCTTTTTTATCTTTCGAAAAAGGACGAGACGTTTTTTGACATAACCCTGGTTCATCAACTTTCTGCTCAGACACTGGTGACGTTTTATAAGGTCTGAGTAACAGTTACAAGCTCTTGAATACTGAATTTGTTTGGAAATGTATATCCCATATGCAGGTGAATAAAATTGAGAATGGAAATGGGGAATGTGTCAAAGAGACAACAACCCGACCAAAGAGCAGATAACAGCCGAAGGCCACAATGGGTCTCCAATGCAGCGAGAAAATCCCGCAGCCGGAGATGGGCCTCAGATGGCCCCTAGATAAAAAATATGTACTAGTTTAGTGAACATGGTCGCCATATTAAACTCCAAAACATTAAACTGAACTAAAATTAAAACACATACCAGACTAACAAAGGCCAGAGGCTCCTGACTTGGGACAGGCGCAAAAATGCGGCGGAGTTAAACATGTTTTGTGAGATCTCAACCCTCCCCCAATACCTCTAGCCAATGTAGAATAAAGAATCACACAGCAATACGCACAGTAAAACTCAGTTGAAAAGAAGTCCGAGTCCGATGTCAGAATAGGTAACAAAAGAAACTAAGCAAAATGACAATGATACATAAATTAACAAAGGACTACTAGCAGTTACTGACATGCCACCTCCAGACCTCAATTAAACTGATTGAACGATTATGTCTTCATCATATGAAAATCAAGCACAATCCCTCCCGTTAGGGATTTAGTATCATACCATCATAAAATATATAAGAAGAACATAACCCGTATCATGCCAACAACTGGTTTTAGAATAAATGTGTTTATTTCCGATGCAAAGACCCTATGAGTGAATCAATATTAATACCAAAATATGCCATCATTAATGACCTGACAACAGTATCGTAACTATATCCATTCTTAATAAGTCTGTTTAAAGGTTTGATAAGATTTTGAGGTGAATACCGACATTTTTGTGCTTTGAAAAGAATATTACCATAAAATTGTGGATGTGAAATACCTGAACGTATAAGATGTCTGCATGTTGATTTATATTTATGAATGATGTCCTTGTATCGATGATAAAATTTGGTAAATGTTTTGACTAGTTTGCGATATCCAAAACCCTGGTGTTGGGTATATTGCTACTAATGTGGGGAAAATTGATAATTTCAAAATTATAATCATCTCGTTTGTCATAGATTCTAGTACTGAGATGAACACTTGTGTCAAATTCGAGATATAAATCTAAAAATTAGGCGGAGGAAGCCGTGTCTGTTGTTTCTTTTATTTCTGGTTCTGGAGGATATATTAATGGAACCCAATCAGAAAAGTTTGGAATGTTAATTGAAATAATATCATCAACATATCTGAATGTGAAATTAAATTATCCAGCTTCTTTGTTCTTCTTGCTTTTGACATTGTCTGAAGGAACTCCGACTTATATGAAAATAAGAAGAGATCGGCCAGGAGAGGCACACAGTTAATTCCCATAGGATTGCCGACAATTTGTTGAAAAAGTCTACCTCCAAATTCAACAAATATGTTGTCAATAAGAAACTCATACATACTGATCACTTGTTCCTCTGTGTAACATATTTTACCTTTTTGTTCACTATTAACAAAATATGCCGTATGGTATCCCAAAGTAATAGATTTATAGCGTATGCTACCATTTTTATATTGAAAAGCATTGCAGATTATTTCTTTTTAGAGTTTTTTCAATTTCACATGGGGAATGGGGGTATTCAGGGTTGAAAAATCAAAAGTTTTGACAAAATTAATTTCAGAGAAAGATCGAGATTTAAAATTCTCCAGAAGTACTTTAGGCTTTTTTAGAATCCACAAAATTAACACGGACAGACTTTTTGTCAATCTAATGGACAATTCTTTTGTAGAACATGCAAATGAGCCGGCAATGTACCGTTGTTTGAACGGAATTTTGTGAAGCTTAGGTATCAAATACAAACAGGGTAAGTCCTCATATTTCTTGTTCAATGTAATATTCATTGAAGCCATGAGGGACTTATGATTCGCCAAAATCTCATCCTTGTCAAATGCTATTTTTTTTATCTGTGGGATTATCTGAGAGCTCATTTATTCATAATTCTTTTACTACACACTCGTAGTAGTACGTTTTACATACAAAGACAATATCATTTGAAGCATTGTCCAACAAGTGAACATACTTATCGTGAAGAGATGATAGACATTTCACACCTTCTTTGTCTCTGAAAACCTCTGAGTTTGGTCGATCATTCACACAGTTTTTCAACTTATGAATTCGACGTTTTATGTTCATTAAAATCATTTTATTGTGGTATCATAATGTCTTGTAATAACTAATGTTGTCCGTATGTAAGGCTTGTCCTTTTTTCTATTGCCGATCCTGAATTCTGGCTATATATTGCTGTTTGTATTAACCCCTTGATTTCATTTCAATTTTTTTGCGTGAAGATTGGAAATGTATTTGCATTTTCAAATGAATCATAGAAACTCTTCCTAGTGCATATAATTTTGCAATACGAACCCCATCAAAAACCGGGGCTGATCGTTTGTACTCTGGACAGTTAGCAGATCCTGTTCTACATTTAACTACCGCCGTGTACTCATATAAGTACACACCTGGTGATGAGGTGTAATTCGGTTGGTCACATTCGAGGAAAAGAGAACGGGATTGTGGTGACGACAATTGAAACATATCCGTCGCTATCTGTTAAAAATGTATAACAAAAATTCCGAACTCAAAGATAAATTCAAAAAGGGGAAAGTCCATAAAAAATGACAAACGTTATAAACCAACGGAACGAGTGAATAAACAACTGTCATATTCCTGGCTTGGTACAGGCAGTTTCCGAAGAAAACATATATTTCATATTAGTCAACCAAATCATGATGGCGTCCGTACAATTATCGGAGGGATGATTTCAACTTCATCACCTGGAACTCTTATAGCTTGGTTGAATAGCTTCCTTGTGTTTAGCAACCCTCTATCAAGGAAATCATGATAGAAAATGCAAGCTCTTGAATATCGTAGCAACTGAGTATAACCCATATGAAGGTGCTGTTAGAATGTTGCTACATAGAAATGAAAATTTCTTTCAATTTGTCTTTTAGTTTGGAATGGAATATATTTGTGTAAAGGGTATAAAAGTCAATTTTATAAAAGACATTATAAGAGATTGTATGTACTCTTACAGATTGTTGGTATCCACATCTGATTCAGGCCGCCCCAAGGATAGGTAATTTCACTATAACTTAGAAACCGACTTTGATTACTGAAAAAACTGATGGTAATAATTCAGAAAAAGGTTTCGTGGAGCACTTTGATGACCTAGCAATATGAAATTGTTTGTAAGGAATTTCGGTATCCAATACAGTGAAGGAAGATCTAGTTCTTCATCTTGGGTTGAAATTTCAAAGGAACATCGAACAGACCTATGATTATTCTGGATTTCCTCCTTGGTAGGTGTCGTGGTGGTTTATGTTGAGATTCCAAGTGAATCGTCAATAACTAATACCTTTATCAAGCAGTTTATGTAATGTGATTACCATACAAAAACGATCTGTTTGGAGGATTTATCTGCAGGGACAACAGCACGTTTGTTATGGAGGTAGGACAGGTGCTCTGAAACATTTGGGTCTTTAAAGATCGATTTAGCATGTGTATTGGTTTATAAATTTATTTTTTTAGATACAATTTCAACCCTTAGCTTTAAACGGAGAGGGAAAATACCAAAGAGGATAATAGTTCACAAGTTAAAAAAACAGACGGCACCATGGCTAAACAAAGAACGAAAAAAAAAAGACAAACAACAATTACAAGGCTATACACAGAACACTACACATTTGGCAACATTAATCCCATCAACAATAGGGTTTTCTAAGGTGCTGCCGATGAATGGAATATTAAATTTATATGTGGAAAACTTCATATATATTTTGGCAAATAGAGTGTACAAAAAACGTCTATTTAGAATGTAATAGAATTCATTTAAGTTTAACATGTCCTGCCTAACATGACTATGGACTATACTCAGTTAAGCCATGTTATTGTGTTATCCACCATGAGCAGCCGTTTTATTTAGAAATTGTGAATGAAATGGTTCATGTGAATAACTATAGATGTAGACTTACTAATAGATTTGATTTTGTTTTTAGTTATTTAACAATTATGGAACAATATACAATGTTCCATGTGATGAATTCGAAAGTAAAACAGGCGCCAATAAAAACTATTAACTTACGTTTAGTTTATGAATATATATCCATTGCAGAACATACTATTATTCCTGCACGTCATTTTGACATTTATGTTGTATGTCTATGATGTATAGTTATACAATTTGGCTGTTGGATCCCAATAGTTGTCACGTTAATCAATTATATAACAAAATATGTCTGTTTGGAATATTCACTCAATTTTGTCAATATTACGGAACTATATACAACTGTAATACAGGTGAGAGGTTTAACTTGCTTTACAACCAGGTTTAATCCACCATTTTCATCAGCAATGCGTGTACCAATATCAAGAATATTACAGTTTTCAAGTCGTTCCGTTGGTTGATATAGTCAAGCGGTTGTTTTTGTCGGGTATTAAGTAGTAACTGTTCCACATTTTGGATTTAACTTGGAGTTTTAGTATTTTCGTTTATATATATTTTTGTTTGAAAAAAAAGTATTTTTTTTAAATAATCTTATTAGTCAATCGGTTTTAAATGACAAAGACAAATTTACTGCCGTTGTCAAACATTCCAGTTATTATCTTTATGATAATAACTTAATTATCAGCATACCTAGCCGTGTTGAAAATATGACAATGAATTATAATAGCATATAGAAGAACAAATGAATGAGAAATTGAGAACACAGATACTATCAATGTCGAAAAAATACACACGTTATGTAAACTGTAGCTTTGATTCAGACATAGCTTTCCATCATTTAAGACCAAATATAAACAATTTGTTTAGACACGAATATAAAGAACCATTGTGCAAATATTGTAGTTTCTTTACTGTTAAATACACAATGGTGAAGTATTCACATGCAAGTTGTGTTTATATCATATTTGTTTGTTGTTGTGTTTTGTCTGTATAACACAAGAGCACACTTGTGTTGAAAATAAGAATTGTAGCAGGTTAGGGAATCCATTTAGTAACATGTAAACATTATTGTCATGTACATTAGCTAAGTAATAAGAGGTTTCAGGAAGGTGCTTTTGTCATTAAATTTCACACAAAAATTTAAAAGTTTTTAATCTCCGGAAGAAAAAGGAATGATAAAGCTAATATTTTGCCGCAAAACTGAAAAAAATAGAAATATATTCAAGTCTTTCAATAAATGTTTATTTCAACTAGTAAATGGACAGTCAGGTACAATATGGACACCGTAGGTCACTTGGGATATCATTGTGATGTTAAAAACATGTCGAATTGACATATTCAACCCAAAATAGTTTTTGTTTACCTTGTTTCAGACAAAATTGACATTGTTTCAGATTTGTGCAAAAGGTTTAAAGACAAAACGCAAATATGTGAGACAAAACTCAAAAACATTAAAATCGATGTTTGACAGACTGAACACCTAAAATGTGTCAATTGTTAGATTTATAAAACTTTTTGATTTCTGAATTCAATGGGTCACATAGGTGGTCTTGTCATACTGTCTCCGTTATATCCAGTACGTCTTAGTAAAATTAAAGACTGCCCCAAAGATAAGACAAAGTTTGAGATCAATGCTGTTATTACCATTTACTCAAAATATAAATGTAAATTCAGAAATTATTGCGTGCATTTATTTATTATTTTTTTTTGGTTTTTGAAAGAAGGACAAAAATGTGAGATAGATTAATGATTGCGATTTCAGAAAAAAAATCTGCATATAGTTATATGTTTCGGATATCGGAATGCGACTTTTTATTATTGCAATACTCTCCCACTTGCAGTATTCGCTTTAATAAAAAAAAAAAAAATCGCAATAATTTCTGATTTTATAGTACATGAAACGGATAACAGACATTTCCCAAATATTATACAGAACAAAAACTCATCAATCACAAATAAAAGAAACATGCGTTAAAAAGATGCATAAACAATTACAAACAACAAAAAACATTGTCCAGATAGCCTGACATAGTACGGTTAAAGAATGTAAAATAAAACCCGTTTTATGCAAATTTCTGATCCCTTACTCGGCGTTGACTATACGTTTTGTCCCTTTTTGGTTTATAAGCTCTTCATTTTTATTGTCGAAATGCACATCTGGTGCGGTAAAATTGGCAACGTTAATATTATTACGTACACACAAACCTGTCTATTACACCATATGTCGTAAAAGCAAAATGCAAAATAAAAAAAAGATTATTCAAACTACCCTGTCTATGACTTTTGCAATGACTAGCTTTAATTTGAAATGAGTTTAATAAATTGAGAGACAAAACTGATTCATGAGCTTTTGTCAACTTCCAATTTTGAGGCAATTACCTTTCCTCTACTTCATCGTTCGTCTTTTACATATCTATGTTGATACGTGACGTGCATGCATGGTTCCATCATACTGATATTATAAAAGGGATCAGCTCCTGATGTAAAAACAAGCTCAAGCAGGATTTAGAGGAAAAAAATGAAATCGACTCTTTACCAGTTTAATGGTCCTCATCATGAATTTGTTGACCGATACGATGTTTCTGGGTCTAAACTAACAATAAACATGACGAGGTCTTTGAATGTTAGATACCAGAAAATCGTTTGATCAGTACATATACCAATTTTCTCCTATTGCATATAATAGCATTTTGGCTGAGTGTGGCATCGCATGGCGGAGGATGCATACTTACAAAGAGATGTTTTTGATAAGTTATTGCTACTCAATCATGACTTCTCTGTGTAGTGTTTTGTTATTATTGTTTACCTTTACATCGTTTTAGGAGGTATGGTGTTGTCTATTTATAAAAGACTTGGTTTATGTCTGCCCAATATGTACATATATCTTCCTTCTCTTTTTACCGTGTCAACGCCTCCATTATTTATTGTTTTTGTTTTGCCTCAAACTTGCTGTATTGTTTTTGTTAGATTTGCCTAAGCCATTTTATAAGACTTTAATCATTGTATAGAATGTACACCGGTATACTAATGTTTGGGTGGACCCAATTTGTCTGCGCACTGTGATAAATGATGATATTACTGATAAAATGACGTGAAGTGAGACGTCTTCATTTGACCACAGACATGTTGCATCTCAACGGATCGATGCAAATAGATATAGGAAGATGTGGTATGAGTGCCAATGAGACAACTCTCCATCAAAGTACCAATTTATAAAAGTAAACCATTATAGGTCAAGGTACGGCCTTCAACACGGAGCATTGGCTCACACCGAACAACAAGCTACAAAGGGCCCAAAAATTACTAGTGTAAAACCATTCAAACGGGAAAACCAACGGTCTAATCTATATAAAAACGAGAAACGAGAAACACGTATGAACTACATAAACAGACGACAACTACTGTACATCAGATTCCTGACTTAGGACAGGTGCAAACATTTGCAGCGGGATTAAACGTTTAAATGGTACCAAACCTTCTCCCTTTTCTGAAACAATAGTATAACATCATAACATAGAAAGACACACTATAAAATATCAATTGGAAGGCTTAACTCAATCAAAAAACGTAAATTAATAATCAATGAACGAATAAATTTGATCTGTGATACCTGAACGCAAATACATAGTTAATAAAAATTATAAGGGATAAATAATTAAGGTCAAAAGTAAATAAACAGGTTTACACAAAGTTAAAGTATGATACCACTGTGAAATGTTAAACAATATTTAGAAAATCATCACTTTTGAAAAAACCTGCGTCATATTATACACAGGTAAATGAAAATAATTTTGTTGTCAAGTATACTTCTTCTTCTGTGTGTATAAAATCTTCCGTTTAGGAATACCAAGAAATTTCTTTAATATCAATAAAACTATTTTAACACTTGGTACATATGGGGTGAATATCAACAATAAAACTATACAATAAGTGCTAGATAAAACTTCCTGTATAGTATTTAAGGAGAAATGAAATAATTGTGATGTTCATAGTACGAAGAAGTGAAAATTAGTAGTAATACCAAATAATCAAAACTGGTATATAGACAAGATCCATGTTAACATTAAAACACAAAAAAGCATAACAAATAGTATCAACAGGTCAAATTAAAAAGAAAGTACTTTTAATACTTTTAATTTACAGGATGTGAACAGTCTTTACCTGGGAGGAGACATGTTGGATCGATCTAAACATACGCATACCAGTGTGGATTCCATGAAATGACATTGTCTCATTATAGAAAAAGACTATATTAATTGATTGGTTGTTGGTCTCAACGTCCACTGGAAAATATCTCATGGATGTTCAGGACGAGAACAAATTAACATTTAATACAATAGGTAATAGAGGCCATCCGAGATGCAGGTCGGGGAAAATTGGAATGACACTGGAGAATGAGGATCTATTGGATAGGGACAGGAATTTTGCCTTGTAACAGACCACTTATGGGCACTCAAAGAGTTGTTGCAAGGGTTCTAAACGTGCAGAGAACGTGGCACTCTCTTTACACGGTCATCGGAATTAACATCCCCATTCTGACTGGATATGGCTGCGTACTTATACATTTTGCACAACTTAACGGACGCACAACTTTGGCGAGGGTTTTTCTGTCGGTCGGAGGAAGACCAAAGTGACCATACTTCTTTTCCCCAGTCCCCTCTGGGGATCAAACACAAACAATTAAGAAATTTCATAAAATTTTAAAAGTAACAAAGCAGCATATCCTAATAATACAACAATTTCAGGCAGACCGCTTATGCCGACTTTTGATGGTTACTGAACGAATAAAAGTTTTCATTTTTTAGTTCGAACATTTCATGTAGAGCATCGCAATTTCGAAAAGTTAAAACTGTTTTGAATTTTTCATAATTTTATTTTCATATCAGTAATTTTCTTCTTAAAAAAACAAACAATTTTGAAAGTATGAATTGTTACACGTGATCCAGACCTCATAAGAGTCAATATTTATTGTGGTGTCGTCTTAACACTCGATAGTCCACATCAGGCCTTCGACAGGATAACACATTTGTTGTGGGTTTGTTAGAATATGGCTTAGGTTGAAAATCTTGCATTCATGACTTGTTTAAGTAACATTGTGTTCATATCTGGCTCACACAGATGTTAGGTACATATTTAAGATGCACAATCTATTGGTTTGACTCGTCGGCGTATCTAAAAGAAGGAACACGGAGGCGAAATTGGTGAGACTACGGGCGAAACCTCGTCAAATTTTTTTTTCACGGGCGAACAAATCTTCCTATCTACCTATAGCAAGGAAAATAAATGTAAAGTTTTTCAAATTCCTGGATATTTAAATTCAAGTCGTTAATCCTACAATTTCATTTTTTCCTCGAAGTGTGGGCTCATTTTTTATTAGTTAACAATGACAATCAATGTATTAATCTACAATTGCGACAATTATGCAACTGTAATGGCCTGACCATTAAGCATAACCAACGATTTGGCTCAAGCAATAAGACTATCAGGTGCTGATAA